TGTGCTCTTTGCACCTGTTGTAGTTTCTGTGAAAATGAAGAGGCAGCATTAGCGTTGGAACAAGGCACATACTGAAGTTATTTTGTCAAAGCACTTTGGCATTATATCCACAGGGCAAGGTTTTCAGCCTGGGATTTTTTTTTTTTTTCAAGCCCTCTTGGACAAAGCATAACATATCACTGTATACAGCTGAAAGAAAAGGAACACAGAGCATCTTGAAAATAAGTGACTAAATCACTTCTTGAAAATCAACCCTAAAACAGTGGAACTATTGTCGGTATTATTGCACAGCATGAAGGTGAGCCACGTCTGCCTCACTTCAGACTCCGGAACTTTATGCAAGGCTTTTGAAAAACTACCTGCAATGTTTTTCCTCCTTTTCCTTCACTTACATTATTGCACTAACAGCATGGGAGAAATAGATCACTAAGTCATACCTGGTGAAAAAGTTTAATTCACATCCCTATTGCTCAGACAATTAAAAGCAGTTCTTAGTGCCAAGAACCATCGAGGCAGACTCTCACAGCACTGTGCTAAAGCTCTGGGAGATCATTTTAATTTTTAGTACAAGCTCATCCAGTTGGCTTCAATTTACAAATAATCCTGCATTTTAAAGCAGCCTTCCTGCTTTAATTGATTGATTTGGATTGAACTTCTTTCCTCATTCCGAGGTTAAGGAAAAAAGTAGTTGTTCTAGTACTGCTTAAGTGAAACCATAGACTATGGAAATAACATATCTCCAACCTTACACAGAAAGTCACACATAGTCTAAAACAAGTTACTGCACTTAGTTTGAGAAGTAACAGGCTTCACTTTGAACAGTTTACTGTAAAACGTGAAGTTGAAAAAATGCAAACATAGAAATAACAGAATATACAATACAGTGGAAAAGAAAATAATGAAACAAATCAGTTTGCTTTTTACACCTGTATGCTTCTTCTCTAATCAGTAAAAGTAAAAGAGGACAAAGTGAAAACAATATTTTAGGAAATATTTTAGGAAATATTTTTAAAAGGCTTGCACTTACAAATAGATGCTAGATGGTTAAAAAGAACATACTAGTTGGGCGAAGATCAACTTCAATATAGTTTTTTTTATAACCCCCATCCCAGACAACACATAAAATATATGCAATACTTTTATGAACTTCCATTTGAACACTTTAGCCCAGGCTCAGCTGTTTCTAATTACAGTCCCCCCTCCATTAAAGACACAGTATAAAAAAAGAAAAAAAAACCCACAAAATTACCAGCAATAAAACATTCTTTATTAACAGAACTACACCCAATATAAGACCAACATAATTCCTAGATTACAACACAAACATTTAAAATACGCTGTGCATTGTAATGCACCCAAGCCAAAACGTGTAATCATCTGACAAAAAAGCCATATGTTTTTAACTAAAAAAAAAAAATAAATGCCCAGCTACTGGAAGTCATAATAAAAGTACCATGGACACATAACATAAATTCCTAAAAACTTCATCAAGAAAAACCAGTCCCACACAGATACACTGAAAAAAAAAAAAACTATTAGGCCTACAACAGCAGAATTTCATACAAAAAAAAAAAAAAAATTTAACAATAGAATTACCAGCAGTACTCACCACAAAACACAGTTAGTAAAACAGAACACACAGAAACAAATACCTTCCTTACTTTTAGGACATTAGCCGCAAAGCTTCTGAACAACAAGACCAGCCAAAAACCAACTCCCAGATCTGAGCTGGGGGGACCACTTTATGTACCAAAGCACTGATTACCTGATTGCCAACATCTGATTCAAACCACAGGTGCAGCCAATTGCTCATTGCAGCACTCGCAGGCAAGACAAATGAAGTGAAAATCAGTACAAGGGAGCTATAATATAACAACTTCTGATCACTGAACCAAAGATATACATATATTTGTATAATTATTTTGTTTCTTATCATAAGCCTCTAAAGAATAATGAATTTGCCTTCTGCTGTTAGTATCTGCATGTTGTTTTTTTTTTACTTCTATAACTGTACAAGAAATTGTGTAAACATACCTAAACATATCTAAATGTCATTTTCAACTTACAAGTACTGATACTTCTATGAAATCACATCAATTTTTATTAGCAGACTTCAAAGACTTTCAAAGCATGCTTTGACTAAAGGCCCCTCAAAACCTGAGTTCCTTTGTATCATATATATCACAAAATGCATGCATGCATGTGCATGGTCAATAGACTAGGCAAAGCAGTTGTATTGGCTCCTTGAACAGTGGCTCCCACATTCAACAGAAATACCCTTTTCCTATCTGTGTTTTTTGTTTTTTTAATTTAGCATCCCCTGCTATTTGTAGATGAAAAAAGTGAACCAAAAGTTCTGACTGAAAATCACTGACGTGATTAGTTAACAGCTGCCAAAAAAATCCAAGGAACACAGGTGATGTTAATGGCTTAACAGTTTGAAACCATCCCTCGCCACACTTGCTCCCAAACTCAACAATCTTTTTTCTTACTGTTCCCCGTAAGACAATGTCTGGTTATATGGCAGATTACAGATATACCCCCCCAAAAGGCATGCCCCCTACTTCAAAATCTAAAATGTTTCTGCCTGTTGCTTATTTCATGTGCTGAAATAAAACACAGCAGGCAGCCTGTGGAGTATTTAACAAACTCGAGACTGAATATTCCATTCCCTGCTATCCCCAAAGGGGATCTCACAATCTGCAAAAGGATCAAGCATGCATGTTAAATATGGCTTGCAAGAACGCAGTACTTAAGAGTTCAGACCCTGTAAACTCAAATTTAGAGAGATCTTCTTTCAAATAAGTGGGACAGTCTGTATGTTTATGTCTTAAATGATAAGCTGTTGAGTTTTGTCCTCTACAAAATTCCAATTTCTTCTCAGGCATTGGTTAAATTTATACAGTAATAAAAAATTCAGACTCAGAGCAAAGTGTCCCCTGGACCTACACGGTAGTGAACTGTCCTTGTACAAACCTTTATGCAGTGCCACAGCATGATCTCTAAACACTCATGCTAAGTAGAAGCTGCAGCTCAGGGTACATAAGGAACAAATTTTTCAAACTCAAAGAAAGAAATACTTTCAAACTCAAAGTAAACTGCTGGGAAAGGCAATTATTACGTGTCTGTGATTGATCAACTTTCCATATAGGAATGCGTGAGCTTTCATTTATGACTTGCTTTGTCAGTGGCATAGGGCTTTGAAGGAAAAGGGCTTTTTAATGGATTTTTTTTCTAGGTAGGGTATTAAAATAGCACGGAGGCAATTTAAATCACAAACAATGACACTTTACAATTTTCTTCAAGAAAGAAAACAGCCATGCAGTTAAAAGTTCCAGGACAATTTGGGATGTGGGAAGCACATTTCAACCTTGTGTATTCTACTGCCTTTTAAAGGGTAGAAATCTCTGCAATCAGCGCAGAGTAAGGCTTCAAGTTAATAATCTTAATATACATAAGGTTTTAACTCATTTATGAAATCTTCTAGTACATCAAGATAGCAGGCTTAAAGAAAGTAAAATAATCCAAAACTAGCAGTTTTTTCCACTAGTACAAACTAATTGGTGAGCTGAAGCATTCTGCCAGTGCCTTCAAAATTTCAAATAATTATTAAATGCAGAGTTCATGGAGGACAATTGTTGAAGAACGCATTTGTTGTTGCATAAATAACAATCACATAATAAGGCTTCAATCTGAAATCGTCTTATTCACAACACGTTGCATAAGCATAGGGCTAAGTCTAAAAGACAACAAGGTTGTCCTTGCATCAAAATTATTAAAAAATCTTACCCATTCTCTTGGCTTAAAGACCGCTACGTAGGAATAATGTTAGGGTGTCTCATACGCAGGGAGCTCCACGATAAGAGATGAGGAAAAGAAGCACACCAACCTTCTTTCATTCTTCAGAATGTGTCCAAGACCACGTGGGGCCAGTTTTTTTTTTTTACAGCAAAGGAATTTTGTCTTGGTCAGACTTTGAGATTGATGAAGAATTTTCACCAAGGAAAAGCAACAAATTGAAATTCCTGAACTATACTGTGCAAGTAACTGCAGATTTGCATTTGCTGAAGGTGTCTCCCAACGTGTTCTCATAAAAGAACCTTCTGCTAATTCTATTCATTTAAAATATGAGTATTTTAGAAAATGAACATGGAACAACTGTTGCAAAATGTTTTTTTAGTTGCATAAATTATATATTCCACATTATTCTGAACCCCTTAGCATCTCACATTCAAGCTTGAGAAGAGTCATTATGAAGAGGAGAGGTTATGAAGTGTGCAAGATAATGTCAAGTGCTTATGTGCATCACTGTCCTCTGCTGGAAGAAATCAGTCCTACTCATATGTTTATGACAGATTAGCTTCTATTAGCAGCATCTCACAGAGCAAACAGCAAGCAACAGCTAATGTACATTTCCATTTAAGCTCCACAGGCCTGTGGTTTAGGACAGAAGGTTATTAATTCTATCATCTGCTAGATGTAGCTGCATAAACAGCATCTAGAATGCTAGCATACGCCCTGGACAGTGATCTTTATTGCCACATTTTGTGAGGCGCTAACATCCTCACTCCTGGAAGGGATGAGATCCCACTGCTCTGCATACAAGATTGTAACCAAATGGCACCATACGAGCAACATGTCAGGCAACAGCAGGTGATTTGCAAAGATTTGCAAAACACCACTCATAAAACATCAGCTGGTTTTGTATCAGACACCAAAACAAAAGAATATGCAACCCTTGGGAGACCCTGAGCGAGAGACTTATTAAAACAAGAGATCAGACGAAAACAGAAAAGTAACCAGTGTCTTGTGCCAGCACTTCTAGGACGACCGCTAATTTTCTCAAGCTAGACTGAGGACCTGTGGATTCAAGGCTCTCGAGACCTTCTCAGACTGCACTGAAACAGTGTCTCGCACCGACAGCACCACATAATCGGGCACAAAGGGCAACACCTGTCCAGAAATAAGGGAGAGAATTGGCCCAGAAACCAGGCTCGCACCTGCCTGCTATTTAGGCGCCGGGTCAGCCGAACTGAGGGATAAAAGCCTCACGCTCATCAGAATCTCCTGCTTTATCATTCCCTCCCCTCGTAAGGCGAAGCGTGCGCGTGCAGCTCGCTCCTCCCTCAACAGCAGGCTTAGGTAGGACGCCAAGGCGAGGGCTCTGTCGGGAGTTGGAGTTCTCCTTCCGGCCGCTGCGCGCGGCCATTCCGCTCCTGGACTACATTTCCCAGGGGGTGCTGCGGTGACCCCTCAGCGTTTTGCAAAGCAAAATGGCGGCGCGAGGCTGCGGTGGGGTTTGGCGCCGAGCGTTGCAGTGCGGCCCCGGGGGGTCTTGCTCTGCTTCCCGCCCTTGGCGGGCCGTCGCGTGCAACGCCGGAGGTGGGGCGGTGCCGCTGGGGCTGAGCGGGTACGGTGCTCGGAAAGCGCGGGGAGGGGCGCTGGACTTCTTCCCCCTGGCATGTGAAAGCTTTCGTGTGCTCTGTTAGCGTTCAGGATTTCTCTCCACGACCGATGATTTAAATAAAGTTACGTAGATGCTGGCAGGAATGTGCTGCTTCGGGTTGGTCCTTCAACGACGTAGATAAAGATGCAGCGTGAACGAACGCTGCGTTCCTCGCGTTTGGTGAGCAGGCCCAGAGCTCTGCTTATCTTTGTAACCGAGTGGAGCCTGACTGCGCTCTGGTAATTTTTCAGATGCCGTGCGGTGGTGGGGTTGTGTTGCAAAGAAACGGGATACTGAGATAAATTGGCCAGAAAAAAAATAGATCAATGTCTTTTTTTTAAAACTTTTTTTCTCTAAAACGAGGTGTTTGTTAGGAATTTTAATATTGCGTGTTTTAAGCATCTGCATCTTAAGCCTAAAGCAGATACAGGTGGCATCTGCATGGCTGCAGGGATGCTGTAGGGTTGTGCTTGGCTGTATGAGGGCAGGCAGACCGAAATGCTGTCGTGCCTTCTGTTTGCCTGTGGAAAGAACACTGTACCTTGGCGGTTTGATATTTTTCAATAGCTTGCTTATCTGCTCTAGCTCTCCAGGTACTTTTGTTGCTGAGCTATCTTGTTGTAGGAAGGTTGTTTCATCACTGAAATATTAATTTGGCCACTTCATTTGTACAAGGGCAGATAATTGCTTACAGAAACTGTCAAGCAATTCATACTGTAAAGGTGACCCTTTTTCTCTTATCCATATAAAGGTTATGGATGTGAGAATTGCAATTACTTTCCAGATAATATAGAGAAGCTTGATTCTGTAGAGTATGTTCAGAGAGCAGTAGCTCTGTAGTTGGAGTGATGATTTCTCTATTACCAGATTTCTAATGTTTATGCTAATGTGCTACTAACACTGCTCTGGAGAGCTGCCTTTCCCAGCATGCAAGTGACTAGCTGACAAAGAATACATAATTTATTATGCCACCTGTCTGTTGGAAATTTATCAGACTACATGAGAAGTAATTGATATTTATGATGATTTCATAATTTTCCTGAGTTACCAAATTAGGGTTCATCCAGCATGCAAGTTTGCCTCATTAATTTCTGTAAGACTTCTCATCTAAGGCAAAGGCAAAAGTTTCAGATCATTAGATTTTCTTTCTTACAGCATTCTCTTCTGTATATAATCAACATACTTTGCCATACAGTCCTGTCTTTACATGTTTTGAGTTATTGCCTGGTCTCCAGTATTGCAACACAACCTTTGCCACCATGCTGTAGATGGATTTGCAGTATCGTTTGCAATCTTTTTTACATTATGTTAGACATTGTAATTTCTTTAAAATGGCATTTCAAATATTTGTAAAAAAAAAAAAAACAAAAAACACCCAACACCAAACAACAAAAAAAAACCCAATTGCAAAACTGTTTTTAGGTGTTTTTTTTAAATGTCATCTGTATGTTGACTACATTTGATTTTTATTTTTTTTCTTTTCAGTCTTGCTCCATGGGCACCGGTTGTGGGTCTGGAAATTCATGCACAGATCACTTCCAACTCAAAACTTTTCTCTGGCTCCCGAGTCCAGTTTGCAGCACCTCCTAATTCTTTGGTATCCTTCTTTGATGCTTCTTTACCAGGAACTTTGCCAGTAAGTTATGTTTTGGCTTGATTTTCATAAGAATTTATGTCAGCTTAGTTTGAGTACATTTGAAATATTTTGTTCTTTTTAATATAAAAATATAGCCTGTAGAACTATTTTTACATGTTTTCATGTTTTCTGTCTGATTATCTGAGATACTTGATTTTGATTCTTTTTAGTCTACTCACTCCCTAGTTATCAATATAAGTATTTGATATTTTCTGCAAAGAAAAAAAAATGAGTGTCTGTTTGATATATTAAATGAATTCCAGTATTTCTCTGAGACCAGAGTGTATTTGATTAGTGTGAGGCACAGGGTATTCTTTAAATTTGAGAGCTACCTAAATTCCTGTGAGAGAAGGACATCTTGGACTTCCAAGTGGCCATTTGATGCTACTTTGTCATATGTATGTTGATGTAGCTGTCATGTCCTGTTTGCAATGTTTTTACTCTGAGATTCCTTGGTTTCCAGAGTAGAAATTCTCTGGTTTAGCAAAGTGTCAACTGTTCCTAATTTCAGTGAGATGTAATTTTAAGAAAAGAAGAAAAATCTGTGTGAAAAGTTGTGAACAAGTCAGAACAGCTAGCTAGCATTTTGCAATGAGAATTAATTAGGGACAACATAATGATTGTTTGAAGTCACAGCTCAATTATAATTTCGTTTGGTCTGTTTGTTTGGTTTTTTTTGTGGTACCTGTGCCAGTGCTTCCTTAGAATTCTCTGGGAACCCTAGAGATTTAATATAAATATATATATTTAGTAAGTATAACCTTATACAGTGAAAATAAGTACCAAAAAGACTTGGCAGAGCATTGTGCAACAAACATGAAGACATTGTAATGGGGTCAAATTATTTCATGCAAGAACACTCCCCTAGGTATATTTGTGGAGGTTGAATTACCATTGCAAGTGTATTTCTTTTAATCTGTTGGAAGCTTTTCTTCACCTATTAAAGCTTATATGGGAACTGCTGAGTCACAAACTGAACCTCTGATTGATCACCTGAGGCGAGCCATGAGTCAGCCAGAGGAGCACAGGCGAAGGCAATTCAGCTGTGCTGCTGGAGCGGGGTGGAGCCTGGCTGCCCCCCTCCTAGACCTATTTAAGAGCTGGCTGCCAGGGGAGAAGGATCTCTTCTGGAGAAGAGATTTCTCTGCTGGTGTTTTGTGTGTGAGCCCAAGATAGGGGTAAGCCTTCTATTTATTGTCTTTTGTTATCGCAGTCTGCTTTGCCTAACTCTCTTGTTTAATTTGTGATTATAACATCCTAATATTCTTTGGTTATATGAAGCTTTAAGTAATATCATTAAAATGAGAATTATAGGTGGATTGATACATGCCATGTGATCCTTAAAGAGAGAAATGAGTTGATATTCATTCTGTATTTGCGGAAGCATGGAAACCTAAAGAAGTGGAGGTTCAGTGCTGGTAAAATTTGGACTTGACTCTGGAATTGGTGCCAATCTGGAGCGGTTTCAGACCTAACTGTGTGGAAATCTTGAAAACTTGCCAGAGAGAACAGGAATCTTCCAAAATCTTTTGGTTTCAAAAGCTTCTAGTTAGACTGGAAACATGGAAGATGAATTCCTTTCATATGAAGGCAGGCCAAAGTTAGGGAGTTCGTAATCATGTAATTGTTTCAGACTAACTTAGCATTCTGAAAATGGTGGAAGTTCAGTTAAATTATCTGATGCTTGTCTTCAGTCAAGTAGAAAATGTTCTTGAAGACCAAAAATGAGCTTTTACATAGAGTTTCACTTTTATGTAAGTATTTCTGTTCCTCCAAGTTGGAGAGGTGGTTTTTTTTGGCTTGTTTTCCTCTGCTAGTGTTTTACAAATGAGGCTTTGTATAGCCTTTGTGAGAATGTATTAATATGTGCAGGCTTTGGCAGAGAAGATAGCTGCACCTGAGATGCTAAAGCGGGGTGGCCAAGTTAATTGAAAAGTAGTGATTCAGTGTTAGCTTCTACCAGCTCCTTTTATCAATGCAAGAAAGATATTTATTTTTTTTTTCTGTGTAGTAGTAGTGCAAACAGGATTGAAAGTGAATGTTACAAAACAAAAAGAATGTTACAGTGTGATACAGAATACCATCTGTAGTCTTACCTGCAATTTTTACCATTGTACTTGCTATACACAAGTTGGAGAAGGGTATTTGTTCTGGAACCAAGTGTTAATTAAATAGAAGTGGAGCAACATCTTAAATGTTCTAAACTGTCTTTAGAAGGTATGCATTTAGAAGGTATGCATTTGGCCTTTCGACTCTGTTTTGTTGAGAAATGAAAAAAAAAAAAAAGCAGAGTTTTAAGGGAACTGAAGAATACAATGTAGCAGAGAGTAACTGCTGTTGTAAACTGAGACCAACCGTTACCGTTCTATGACAGAGGGATTTAAACTTACTGTGGGACTGTGATATAGTTTTGATAGACAACTGTACTGTCACTCTGCTTTGCAGTGGGACCAGAAGGAACGGTGCGGAGGGAGCTTTTCTATTTGTTATACGTTTCTTGGTCACTAATGAGCATGGGAGTGATCTTTTGCTGCATAAAGGTGTTGTTTTAGCCTTTCTCCATCTTTCTGTTTTACATTTTTTTCTTGTACTGTTGTGCAAGTTATTTTATGTTACTGCTACAAGTAAGGCCTTAGGAGGACTGTAAAAAACAGTGTTAGCGCCATGAACATTCAGCTATGCCACTTTGATAATGTGCCTCTGAGAGACAGCTACAGGCAAGAAGTGCTATGCAGGTGTACTGCTTTTTTGGCATAAGGCAGAAAAAATGGCCTGACAAAGCTTTGATTAAATAGTGAGACCAGAAAGCACACCCCATGCCACTCTACAGACTTCATTATTGTGCTCTGTGGTGATGGAGCCCCTCGCCCCTGGACCAGACAGCATCTTGCAGAAATTTCTGTAAGGATTGCTTCGCTTTGGAACAAAATATAAACCCTAAAAATGTAAGAAAGGCTTTTTTTAAAATCAAAGTGGATGGACTTGGCAATGAACTTACTGTGGTGTATTCAGGGGACTTGTTATATTAAGCTAAAGACATGGTGTGGTGTATAATGCATTATACATACCTGTAGATTGATATGAAATCCTTCTGAGGATTCAGAAAGGTGGCTTCGCTTCCACTCTGATATATCCTTTGTGTTAATTCTAAGAATGTCTTAAAGGTTTCTAAAGATGAGTGGGCTCACAGAAAGTGAATCCAGATATTCTCATTCTTGAGGTAGCTGACCAAAAGGTAATTGCAGCTCAGCCTAAGAAATAAGGTAATAGATCTAGTAGCTAAAGGCTGAAATCTTTATTATCTGTACTTAGTCTTTGATACTCATCGGAGCAGAAGATGCACATTTTCTGTTTGTGTGCTTCATGATTGAACTGAAAGCTTGATCCTGCTTTGTTCTAGGCAAATATACTGAGAAATAATCTAGGATTTACATAACTCAGGTTTAATGTAATAAGATTTGAACGTTAGCCCTGCAGTCTTAAGTGTCTTCAAACTATTGACACCTCGAGCATTTGAATTTCGTTGTCCTTGTAGTGTGAACAGATTCTCTTGTTTATTTGTAAGGTGACTTTTGGCAACACTTGGAAATAGCCGAGATGTGCGTATAATAAAGAAAAAAATTATTCACACTAATGAAATGGATTAAGATGTGTGGTGAAGACTGCTATCCTGAGATTGATGATAATTTTGGGATATATAAGTGGGCTCTTCTGAAAACAGTGCCTCCTATTTTATCACATTGTCCCATGACATCAGAAGTGGATACTGGTGGTAAAGCAGCAGGAGCTGATTCCATTACAGGTTGTTGCTGTGTGACAGATGCAAAGGGGCAGTCTGACAAAATGGCATCTGACATGGGAGTGTTTATGAAGCAAAGGTGCGCCACTGAATTCCTCCCCATGGAATAACTGGCACCTGTTGAGAGTCATCAATCTTTGCTGAATGTTTCTGGGGACCAAACAGTGGGGGTGAGCATGGTGAGGGGGTGAGTGGTGTGTTTCAGCAGTGGCGACAGCAATGTGAAAGACAAGCTGTGTTCCAGTCAGCAAGGAGGATTTTTACAAGTGTGGCATGCAGGCTCTTGTTTATTACTGGTGAAAATGTGTTGCTAATGGTGACTATGCTGAAAAATAGTGTTTTCTAGCTGTGAATTTGCTCTGTCAGATAGTGTTATTGTGCTCTTTGAATCTGTTGTGGTTTTCACGGGGGGGAAAAAGTAGACGTTACTTTTGGAGTGACATTTTTTTGATTAGGCATCCTTCAGGATTTGACAGCTTACCCATAGCTGCTATCCTGTACTGAGATTTTCATATCCTCATTTTAAATTCTTTTAGTTTTCCACCAGGAGTGCTGGAAGGATGCCTTCGCACCCTACTGTATCTTCTCTCAGCTGCATAATGACACTCCCGCAACCAGACAATATTTTTTTTTTTTTTTTGTGGAAGGAAGTCAAACTAGAATAGCTGTTAGTCCTTGTTGGTTCAGGTATTGTATTACTGGCAACCTGAAGTCCAAAATCTGACTTCTCCACAGCTAAGGATTGTCACTGCAGCACTGTTATTGCACCATTGTCTTCCCCACCCTGCAGTGCAGTGCTGTCGAATTGCTGCCCAGGGACCTGGTAGGGGTAATAACCTGCTTGGGGATGTGGAGGGTGATGCTTTAGTTACCTTATTCTGTGTCGAGACTGCGTCCATCCTTCACTGTGACAGATACCTGGTGTTTTTACAGCTAGCTTGGGGTGATAGATTATCAAACTTGGTGATGAATTTTACGTGTTATTAATATACAGGTTTTACCTGATGAATTTGCTTTCGAAGGCACTTGAATGATTTCTGTGGATTTTGTTGTTTCTGTCACCATTTATATCAGAACAGAAATGGTACTTCAGACCAGAATTTATACTTAGTGTTTGAAACTAGGTTCTCTGAAACCCTGGGCCAGTTAAATGTGGTGATTGCAGCACCTGCTTTACCAACTTGTGACTTCAGTAGTGTTT